GAGACGTTAAACAGATAGTGAGGCTCCTTCTGCTTATCAGGGATGTAAATCCTTAGGTGATGGCTAAGCAGAAAACAAGGCCATAATTCTCTCGGTGAGGGAGGAGGTATAGCCCCCCCCCAATGAGAGGGGCCAACATGTAAGAGTTTGAGGAATGTTCTTTGTCTGTGTCTCTGTATATAAGATGTAAGGGCGGTGGCCACAATTCAGAGATGGTCCTGGTGTTTCACTGGGATGCTCTCTCCACATTGCAATGTGTTTATTAAACCCACTTCAAATCAAGCTCACTGGGTGTGTTGCAGAGTATTGTTAACATTTCCATAACAACATCCTCATTATTTTCTTAATCATAAAGTATTTTGATATTACTCTTTAATGTTGTTTCCCATCCTCTTTTTTCTTTGTCATAAAGGTTGTCTGTACTATCCACCTTTGCAAATGATTTTGCTAATAATTCAGATTTATTTATCTATTTTTATCATTATCTATTATTGCAGGGAAATAATAATCTTTTGAATTACCAGAATTAGGTTTAATTGTACACTGAACCCTGTCTAGTGGTGTATTTTTACCCAGTAATTCACAGTATTTTCTCCAATAATGATTTTTACTGTCTTTATAACCCTTCGAACCTCTGCTTGTTTCCATATTTTCTGTATATATTTTTATGTTTTGAAAACCTAATTGCATTGTTTTATTGCTAATGTACATTCTGCTTTCCACATTGGTACTTTTCTCACAAACCACCTCACAGACACCTCAGTTAGAGCCAAGCCTCACTCTCCATCTTCATCACCACCACCATGTAGACTCAAAGGGGTCCTGTCCTAAATTCTATCACCGCTCGGATTCTGTCTGCCATGATGGGTCATCATACATTAATTTCTCTGTCTCAATAAATAATGTTTAAGTGATCTCTCCTTATTGCCAATGGATAGATGCAGGGATATTAATCGTCACACACTTGTGCAGTAAAGAGGATGAATGTTGTAGACAGAATAAGACAGCTGATCAAGTTGTTTCACTAACTCATCTAAACTAAGCATTTTGAAGAGGATTAAGCAGCCTTGGCAGTTGTTTGACTTGAAATGGCAACTGTAATCTCAACATTTTGACAGCTTGTTTTGAAACTATAGAGTGGAAAGTTGAGATTTTGTGTTACAATGCAAAGCATAAAAGTAAAAACTAGTGAGAAGTAAAGGAGTAGTGAAGTAATTGTACTTCATTTCTTTTTTTATTTCTGACAGCTGCTAAATGTGGAAGAAAGTATCTGAATTATGTGTCTTATTGGTAACTTAATACCAAAAACATCCTCAGGAGAAATGTATACAATTCGCTTTATTTTATGACGTTACACACTGGAACATCCGTTGCTTGTAAATTACATGTAACTGCAAAAATGTAACTGCAACTAAATTAGAAAACCAATTTAATGCCATTTATAAAATAAACACATATCTGAGCTATATTCATTTTAAAAGGCGTGCTGCACTCTTAGCTTATATGCACAGACCTTCAGACAGTTATCCTTGTAACGCTGAGGTAGGCGCTTCAAGTTGTTAGGTTTTGCAAAGAGCCACTGAGTGGTGCTCCATTCCTGCAGTGTGTGGGCGGACCTCATGGCTGCAAGGGTCACAAGGTCATAACGGATGGGTTAAAATTGAGCCAGGTGCTTCAGCGCCTCCCCCTCGCAGCGCATGCAGTGGTAGCCCATGGTAGCAGTGATATCGAAGCAGCCCTGGCTGAGGTAAAAGTCCATCGATGGTTTGTTCCAGTTCAGGATAGTGAAGTTGAGCTGGTGGCAACCAGCAGCCAGAGCCAGCTACAGGAGAGCAAAAACAAGAAGGAAGACAGGAATGACTGCTGAGCTGAAAAGACGCATGGAGGCTTCTTCTGTATGCTGCCTCTGGGACACTGGCTAGTATGTTTTCGTGCAAATATTGAAAATAAAAACAGCTTCAAGGTTTATCTTCTCCATTATTCACATGTTTCACTCACCTGTGCCACCTTGCTCATTAGTGCTTTACCAACACCTTTCCCTGAAAAACAGATCATGTGCATTACTTGAGATTTCCTGCAAATATAGGGTCACAGTGATGATGAGACATCTTCTCAGAGGCTGTACTGTACCTCTGAACTCAGGCATCACATACAGGTCCTCCATATAAATGGCTCTGCCTACAAACGAGCTGTAGGAATAGAAGTAAAGTGCATAGCCAACCTTTGTGTGCCCTGAAGGTAGAAAAATATCTACTGGTAAAAACAGTCGACATTTAGAAGCTAAACCGTGTCTGTATTCATAAAATTTGTATATTTGTTTTGTCGTTCCTTCCAACTGAGTTAATGACTCTGAACATTTATCACAGTGATTATTAACAGCATAATGCTTTACTTTACACTGTAAACACATAAATATGTATAATTTCCTTTACATCAGTGAAAAAATGATACAAATTTTGGTGCTGCTCACAGTTAATGTGCAGCAAACTTTATAAATAAAACCTCACATTTTTAACCTTTTGTTAAAAATCTGCCGTTTTTTTGTTTCTCCTGCTCGCCCACTCTGTCGGTTATTTTCACTTACTTTAAGGGTTTTGTCACATATGGCTTCATATGTTTTTTTAAACACTCAACCATCAGTTCTTAGTTTGTTACAGCTGTTAGACAGTAGATCGCAACAGTGTGTGTGAAAACTGGGCGTAACACGATCACCTTCTTTGGTTTTGTGCTGTTCTGGCACCTCAGCGATGATCCCATGAAAGAACGGGTTCTTGGAAAAGCCATCCTGCTCCAAGTCTGAAAAGAAATTATCGATACTGTTACACGGTGTTTTCACAAGGGGAAATTCAGTTTACATTTAACAGTTTGAGACTTTTTATCAAAATGTAATCTTAGCAAAGAGAGAGCTTTAAAACCAGTTCTTGACCTTTTGTTGGAAAATACAGTGCAATGGTTTTTCAACTTTTTTTTTTCAAATTTTAGAATGAAGCTTTCTGGGAAAACCTGTTACCTGGTGGTAGAAACAAATGGCTCACAGACAAATACTTTATTATGGTGTGAAAAATCTACTTAGCTTACACAAATATAACTAAACTAAATTTGGGGTAGCTGTAGCTCAGGCGGTAGAGCAGGTCATGTACTCATTGGAAGGTTGATGGTTCGATCCCTGGCTTCCCCTAGTCTGCATGCCAAATATCCTTGGGCAAGATACTAACCCCAAATTGCTCTCCAATGCATTCATGTGTGTGAATGTTAGTTAGGAAGCACTAAATAAAAATGTGCTTGTGTGTATGGGTGAATGCACAAGTTGTATAAAGCGCTTTGAGTGCTCATAAGAGTATAAAAGCGTTATATAAGAACCAGTCCATTTACCATAAACACCAAACTATATTTGATCCAGATACTTTTTGGTTAGAAGTGTGTTTTATCTGGACGTGCATTCCCACTTCAGTTCCTGCCAGAAACTCCAGCTGTGGTTGAAGCCCACATTGCTACAAGATGCACGTGACTCTATAGAGGAGGTCAGCAGAGAGGTACAACAGTGTCTACAGCCATCTGTAAAACACGGTACAGGCTCTGTCATGTTTCAGAGCTGCCTTTCAGCCAGTGTGGTGTTGGATATTCTGTCAAAATGCTGAAATTATGAATGCAGAAATGTGCCACCAGAATTTGATCAACCATTCAACACAATCTGGAAAGTTTCTGATTAGCAACACTTTCGTCTTTTATCTTTTATCAAGCACTGCCAGTCATGGACAGAAGTAGCTGCACACTGTAAAATGTAATATTGTGTTTGATTAAAAATATTAAATAGGCTGACCTCAGTTTTTAGCAATTTGTTATTAGAACTAGATTTTAATAAGTTACCAGTGCATTTTATGCAAAAACGCTGATAAACTCAATTTATTTGAGTTGTCTTAACTTAGAAAAACTAAGTAAGCTGGAAGTTTTGCTTCTCAGTGCGGAAGGATGAAAGATGTGTTTTGAAAATGCCCTGTCACTACCGTCCTCCTCCCTCTCGGATCAGTCTGAGAGGGAGGAGGTGTCAGCATTTGTTATGGAATATGTTGAGCAAACCTGGAAAAGCGTCAGCTCAGGATATTATTGTTTTCATTGCTGTGAATCTTTACCTGATACACTGACTTGGTGAGTAAATGTTTAGTCTTATTCAAACTGATTTTGTGGCTGCTCTTAGTTTAGCACCAGGTTTATAATCTTGCTAGCTAGTTAGTGTTAGCCTAGCGTTGCTGCTGCCGCTGGGCTCATGTTATTTAAAAATTAACACCACAGCCTTAAAAACCTTACATAAAAATATGTCTGTGAAATTTTCTGTTGATTGTTTGAAATAAAAAAGAAAGTGAGATAAGGTGGGGTGTGGGGGGTATTTTCAATCCATAGCCATAACTAACTAACTAATTATATATATCATGTTTAACCTGAGTAGCAAAAGACCGCAGGGGGTTGAAAACAATAAGCCAGGAGTTAGCTGTGCTCGCGGACTCTATCAAGCCTTGACCTCCCGGTCAGCTATGGTCACCAGGTCACCAGCTGGAGGTGACCTGGTGACCATAGCTGGTGACCTCCCGGTCAGCTTGCTGGTGGATAACAGCGCTCTCCGAAAACGTGGAAGCACTTTTGCAAATATGTGATATTTTGATAAATTAAGTAGATATTTGAGCATTACACAGCTACATTCTCACCTGAACATATCTTAAAAGGTTATTTTGTGACCCAGAAAGAGTAGTCTGGGGAAAAGGAGGATCGTGTTTGTCAGCCACGGTTGTCAGAGCCTGTGTACTTGTAAGTGCTGCAATGGCGGAGGAGCGCAGCTAAAAAACGTATTACTTTTTCTGGGTCACAAAATAAACTTTTAAGATATTTTCAGGCGAGAATGTAGCTGTGTAAAGTTCAAATATCTGTTCAATTTATCAAGACATCACATATTTGCAAAAATGCTCAGACATTTTCGGAGATGTCCATTTTTTTTCATGCTTTGTGGCAGCTTTTGAACATCTATGGCATCTATTGATGTCAAATCTAGCCTTTATTTAACAACATAAGCAAACTCTATGTTACAATGATTGCACAGCCATTAAGGATCAAACCAGTTTCTGAAAAATGTTCTGCTTTTTCTCCCTCTGCTTGCTTCTTACTGTCTTTGAGGCTCGAGACCAGCACTCCTGCTGTTGGACAGAAAGACATCAGTAACTATTTTGATTTTCCAATATATTAGCAACTGTCAGTTATATTTATATTAA